TATCAGTATAATTTCAGAAAAAATTCTATTTGCATGTCTGAATAGCTGAATAACCAACTGGAACCACAACTTTTGAATGGTATTTATTTAAGCTGTATTAGCTGATTTTACAGGTAGACAGTAGCTCTGAAGCAACAGAACAGTTCCACTAGAGGTTTTAATATGTTTTTTACTGCCAACATGAGCTTGAATGAAGAATTTTCCTGAGCAACTGCCAAGACTGCATCAGTCTTACATGGGGAGTGTTAACTTCAGGCAGTATTTGTGGTAACACATGAGAAAAAAACCAGCACCACATGTAGCAATGAAGTGGAATATTTTTCTTCTGTTTTCCTGCAAAATTTATTAATAAAGAGGAACACTCTAAGATATAATTTCTTTAGTCTGTGCATTTCTTCACTTATCTTTGTGATAGGTAGAGAAACTAAAGGAAGTCATCAATGTAAAAACAGTCATTTATTTTAAATCTTTTTTCCCCACAACACTTCATATTCTGCCACAATTATCCCACTAACTAAATCTGATGAAGGTGAAAAAAATGATGATTTATAGCATCATCAGACCCATTAAATTTTAAAAAGGGGAGCTTCAGCCAGCCTGCCTCACATAGACAAGTAGAAGAGAAAAAGAAAGGAAGACAGTAAACTCAAAATGGCCAAACATCACTGTAGAGGCATCACATAAAACAGATAATTTCTCCAATCCAAGTCTGTCCTTACTTATGGCATAGGCTGACATTCAGAAACAGGACCAGGCTTTAGGTAGACCTTACAACTGTATTTAGTCATCAGCACTATACACAGTTGAGATGCCTGTAAAATGTCTTTTGTGGATATTAGAGAAATACTTTGGATAAGTGTTTTCATAGCTAGCACAGTTTCCCTGTATCAATGGACATAAAACAAGTCTCTCACCACAAATTGTGCTATTTTATAAGCTTACAAAATGTAGTAACAATTATTACAGTTCACCTTAGACATCAGTGCTGAAAACTTGTTAACAACATGGGTTAGTGACATTTCTAGACCATGTATGGTATGATTCCTTTAGAACGACTGAATTTCGAAACAGAATAAAAGAAACAAATTAAGACCAGTGCTTGAGTAACTAAGGATACATTAGAAATGAAATCTCACACTATTTTCTTCTATAATTTTTTTTCAGATATTTCTGATAAAAATTGTAAACACAGTGGATGTTAGTAACATCACAGAAGTATCACTAGTGAAAAATGCTAAAGCAGCTGTGATATCTAGAATCACAGTTTTATATATAGAGAAAAAAATACACTGTATATATATTATTTATGTTATTTTTTCCAACTATCACTATCCATCAAGAAGTGCCATCCTATTGCAGTACACGCTAGTGTCTACCTAGTCCCAGCACGGACAAACTTTTAAAAACCTTGTGCTGGTACTGAAACCAGAGCTCAAGGGAAGGAATACACTATGAAGTATGTTTCTAGAACACATGCAACTAGATATTTAATGCCATATTCCTTATTTAGGACCTTCCCACCCAATTATTTCATATAGAGGAGTACAGATGATGCTGCATCATCACAAGGAGAATGAAAAGGGGAAAAGGAACTCCACCCCATGTTACATAAGCTTCTGGTCAGGGGAGCAGAAGTTCAATTTTTACTTACACATTGCTTATTTTCTTCCCCCTCTGCAATACAAAATAAATTATTCATGAGTTTTGTAGCTTTAAAAGACTGATTTCAGTAGCATTAACTTTTCTGGAACTTACTGCTCTATTAACCAGAAACAAGACCAAATTACCTCATAAAAGAATGAAATAGCATTTTAATGTTCCATTTTAATTGTTGGCTCTCACAGGCTCAGAAACACATAGGCATTACCAATGCAAAGGTAAGGCCTTACCTGTCTCAGGTTAGGCAAGCTATCATATGAGAGTTTATTATGTATCACAAGGAACACAGACACAAATGGTATGAATAGAAGTGGGTCAGACTGCATAAATATAAAATTAAAACCTCTTAAACAAATTCCTGAAATCCATCTGTCATGGAGAATAGATGACAAAAATTCAGCCTCATATATCCCACACAGTACAATGAAGATGTGCAAGAAGCAATCTGAAATAGGGTTCTTGCCCTACCTATTATGAAGGAAAATAATTATATGTAAAAATATGACTTTATAGTTTCTTTACGCAGATGAATTTAAAATAAATAAATCTGTAAGTAAGGAATTTTAAGATTTTGCTAGAAAATGAGAACAGTTTGTTCTCTGCTCCTTATCAATCAGGAATGATCTATGAGTACCTTAGCCAACCCCACTGGCCAACACAAGGATCCTGGCAGAATCAACATCCTGAGAGGCTGCACTCCTATGGGCAATGGAAATGACTGAACAAAGAGCCCACAGAAGCCAGGAGAGGAAGATTCCAGAAGAACTAGATCTTACAGCCTTACATGATAAAGACAACAATAATGGGATCAATGCATACCATGGCTGCAAATTCCATACAAAATATGAAGAGGAAATGGAGATTAGCAGCACTGCTGAAAACAGCTTTAGGTGAGATTCAGAGGAAATTAAGAGGACTATGTTGGCCATGTTAAATTAAATTAATGGAAAAGCATCTTTCACTTTTCATACAATTACTTGTAACTTAAATTCTTTGAGACAGACTTCTCAGAGATTAATGGATGAAGGGCTGTTCTCCCTGCTGTAAGTTTTGAACTCTCTCTACTTCACACATAAAACCCAGAAAACTTCCTAATGTACTACATTTTTTATTATGACTATTTAGAATAAAAAGAAATATGCAAAATATTATCTGTATTACAATTAATGGGTACATTATTTATATCTATACTCTCACTTCTTAAATTGGCTTTTAAGTGCTTAGTCCATTTATATACCATGAATCAAAATTAAAATGTTGAAATTAAGCCCTTTTCTTTTATGCTTATTACACCGCAAAATGATACACAAAATTGCCAAAAAGCAGTGGATTGTATATTCATACTAATATACTTCAACCAAAATATAGGAATGATTTATCTGTATTTTATTATTTAAATTAGCTGGTTAACAAGGTATGTATACTAAATTTCTTTATCCATAATCCAGCATAGCATAATTTAACACTAGACAAAAAAATAACTGTTTGTGTTCTTCCACATCCCTGCAAATGGCATTTCTCTCTCCTCAAAACTATGTACAGAATGTTGGATAGCTGGTCCCACATCATAATCATGTTGGATGTATATGAGATATCTACAACTAGCAGGTCAGCTCCATCCAACCTTGATCCTATTTTCCTTACAAATGATCAGACTATGATCCCAGTTGGTATGTTCAACTGTTAAAAATTAACTGAAGCATATAATTATGGAACAGACTATCTTCCTTAAGCTCTTCTTTTTTTACCATCAATATCCTCCTAACTTGTATGAAATAGCCACAGTGGTTGAGTGATTGCTCCAGGATCCAAAGCCCAGTCCCAGGACAGGTGACTGATTTCAAGGCCTGGCCAGACTGTCCTGAACTGCTGCCCTCTGTATCACCTGTGGCACGAGCATTCAAGTGCCTCCAATACTGACATGACCTGCAAGGATTTTTCTTAGACAAAATAGTTTATTATTAATATTGAAAAAGATGTGGAGACATACATATGGCCTGCAGAACACTACTATTGCTGTAGCATCATATGAATACCAGCCCTAAGATCCAAAAAGCTGTCCAACCTGATGACCAAGACCTCTTTCACTCTTCCAAATGACACAGTTCTTTCCCAGTGGATTGCCTGTGATTACCCGAAGGACAATGGAGTTGAACATAAGAGGGAGTTGCTCTAGGCAGTACACATTGGTCTTGCAGGGCTGCAACTAATCTTTTGTATCACTAAACAAAGTGATCTGCACAAAATCATGAACTCTGTGACACCAACTTTCCTTCCTCAGCAACCTTAAAATCTCCTCTCTTTCTAGGTTACCCCATCAGGGCTACCAGCATCTCATGTAAACTGGACTGCAATTTTTCAGAGCGGAACTGCCTGTAACAACTGCTTCTTACAAATGTTTTGTTACACACTGTGGTTCAAATACAAAAGCCAAAGAACATTAAGAACACTCAACAGTGTACTTGCATCAGAGAATTATTCTTTTCTAAATAACAGATTTAGAAAAAATAAAATTTCAAAATAGCCTGAACAAGAGCAAAATTGCTCTTAAAAATAGCAATTTTTCAAACCCAGACTTCTGGAGAACTAGAATATCCTGAGCAATGGAACTATGTGGTTAATCTATGAGCTATTTGGAGCAGTGGGAAGTAGTGCATTTGTAACTTGAGACAAACTGCTTAAAAAGAATTGAAGCTGGTGTCATTTTTGTTCTCTTCAATAATGAGATACATAGTAAATCTCTGGTTTTTACTTACTTTAAATTATTTAGCAAATAATACTACCTTTAACCATGTTTCAATAAAGGAGTAATATTAACTTAGTTCTAAATTTAGGGTTTTTTTCTTTTAATCCTAGAAACCAGAAAATAACACCTGCAGTAGCATATGGGCATGCAAATGTTAAAAACAGCATAGTGATACTATCTGGATGAACTGAAGAGGAAAAAGCTCATAGAGTCTATTTCCACAAACTCTCTCATCATCTTTCAAGCCTATTTTTGGGTAAAATGAACTATATGAACTATTCAAGTTTGGTAGTTTTTAATTTCAGAATCATAGAACTAAAATATTACATTTATTTGTAAAAACACTCCTCTGCAGCAGCATCATGAAATACACTGCCTACCTGTTGTTACTTTTTATCACTACCTCCATAATGTGAACAATACTTAATGTAATAATCAATCATGTTCTTCTGGGAAAAAAACAACAAACCAAAACCAACATAATTCAAAGCTATCCAATGCTTTACGCTTAAAACCCCCCTGAATCCAACCAATATTTTAGAATGAATGATAAAAATGGAAAAAATAAAAGCATTTCATAAATCAAGTGTTTTACCTTTACGTCCAGGGTATACATTAGGGTAATATTCATAATAAAGATCAGGCTGGTCTAAATTTCCAAATGGTTCAAATTCCATTTCTGCATTTTGGAACAGATTCAGTTTTACCAGCAGTGCTAGTCTCACAAACCACAGCTAAAAATTAATACATAAGAAAAAGGGAAAGACAAGGTCTGTTACTAGCTTCAATTAAGAGCCACATCCAGTACAATTTCAACTTTTCCTGATAAAAGCTGAGTTTCCCTGTTACTGAAAAGAATCAGGATTCATATTTACCTGCTCTTTTACACAGGATTCATATTTACCTGCTCTTTTACACAGTACTTTTCATCAAATCATTAAAACAAAACTCAGAGGACCAATGCTTAATTGTTTGTAAAGGTACTAAGATTTCAAAGACGAAGCTTAAAAACTAGTCTGCTTCAAAATTAGAACATCTCTCTTTGAAATGAGTTAGCATAACTTTATGGTATTCTTAAAATCTTTTGGGGAAACTCCATAAGCTTTATAATCACTAGGGTCAAAAACCTGAGTTCATATCTGGTCACATCTGAATCACTTGCAATATTTTATTAATTTGGATTCTTATCTTTTAAGCAACATTAAATTCATTTCTAACATGTGGAACCTTACTATAACGTTCACAATCTAGATAGTCCCATGAACCCTAGCAGATTGAGTCTTTCAAAACAGCAAAACATATTCCATTTTACTAAAAACCTTTAAAAACATAGAATTGAGATTCAATTTTCCTTAAAAATACTAAACTTTTTTTAAATTAATGCCTACTTTACATAAGCAAACAGAAAAAGATGATTTGCTAAAATAGCTAAATAACCACAGTTTCTATGTTACAATTAGAAAAAGGAGTTTGATCGTGTTAAAAAAAAAGCTGCTATGAATATTGTGACAAGGGCATACCTTTAAACATACCTGTAAAGAATCTGTTGTATGGCTAGCAGGTAGTCCACTTTTTTTATAGCCTTGACCATGTGCAGCTAGAAGTCGCCCACACAAGTCAACTGCTGCCCTCCAGTTTTTACTACTCTGGGAAGAAGAAAAGAGAAAGTAGCAAAATAAATGAAGTCCCTTAAATGCACAACTGCTTACTTTGCCTGAAGCAGCAACATGTACCCATCAGTAATAACAACAAGGTCAGGAGAGCTGGCCAGTGATAAGTAGAATGTCATTTGTCAAAGCAGCACGTCTAATTAGGCAAAAAGGGAAATCAAGTATTAATATAACCAAATCACTAAAACAAAAGAATATATAATATGGAATTCTAAACTTAAAGCTATATCATGTTTGATTACATAAACGAATATACTATAATATTCACAAATGTGTTTTCTCCTAAAAAAAGGACAAAAAAATTGTCAGCCATATATTATCAATAATATCCAAGTTACTTTACAGTCATAAAATATTCAATGCCTATTCGTATCTTACTGACTTCAGTATCTCAGATTATAACCCCTAGTACAGTCCACTTAATGCAAATAAACGTGTAGCATTGTCCAGGATACAAAATTCCTATTAATCAAAAACAAAGAACAAGGAAGAACACAATCCATAAATATAAATAAATATAGAACGACTGTTTCACCTATAAAACATAAACATCTGAATTTCCACCCCATGACTAATTTCAAAATACTCTTTTTTTTATTAATAGAAAAAAACATTCCTAATTAGGCAAATCAAAATCTCACACTGTTAATCAGTTTTTCAACAGAAATATCCCAATAATGTTTCCTTGCATAGTCTGATGCAGCAAACCAAAAACTTAAAACACAGATTTACAAGTTTTAAGCCATCACACTTTTCTATTATACAGAGGAGTTTTTAAAAGAAACATATATCCAGCAGGTCATTCTAACATAAATATAAGTTATTCCTTAAAGTAATGTTTTTTCCAAATGGTTTTTTAATACATAAAATAATATAACTGTAAAACAAAATAATCATGTTGTTTGATGAAATGTAAAAGAATAAAATACATTTATATTGATGCTTGCAAAGTTCAGATACTAATCTTGAATTGGTATTTTATTAATTTCTCTCCAATGTTTTAGAAAATGAATCGATACAGCAAACAGTTACATTGAAAAACCAGTAGTAACAACTGAAGCGACTTCCTACCTTCTGCCCTACATTTTGCAGCTACCCAGGCTGCAAACAGGCCACTACAGAGATCACCATTCACCATCCACCTCGCCTCTCCTTTCTGCATTGTCAAATGCCAGTTAGTAAGTTGAGTTCCACTGGAAATGCAAAAGCTGGCTGACAGCAAGACCATGAAACAGCATGGCAGACTTTGAGCCACCTACGTTCTTATGGAAGAGCAGGAATTGGTAATGCATTACAACATCCTTCAACATCAACAGTATCAACTTAGAAAAGCAGAAAGATACTGCACATACTGAATTAATTCCTGTTCTGGAGACAAACTGATTCTTACTATCATTACAACAGGGGCAAACACAGACTCAAACTGTTCAACTTTTTCTTCCCAAATGACAGTTAGGATCAAAAAATAATAATGGATCATTTATGACCATCTTAGCTGCTACAGTCTTTTAAATTTTATTTCAGGCATGGACAAAAAATACTTTATTGAACAAGATAGCCAAGAGAAGCAAGTCTGACAATTATTGTGAAAACAGCTGTTGCTGGAAAATGAAACATATTATTTGCAATGATTTCAAAATTAGAGCTGCCTGCTGGTCATGGAGCATAATTCTCTGTGGAAGCTTACTAGAAGGCTGCTGCCAGGACAACTTGATTTGGCATTAACTGGACACATTATTGGCTCAGGCAAATTGTACCAGACTTAAGAGTTACCAGTCTACCAGAAATCTTTATCCATTTCAAACATCCCTCAAAACCCTGCAGGTCATTTTCATGCTTCCTATGGTCTACAATCATACAGTTCTAAAAATCCAGGTCCCTTATACCGGAATTTTGTTTCTAAGGCCTAAGTAGAGACTCAAAGTAAATATGGACACTATAGCTTCAGATACAGCATAAAAAATACTGAGGAACATTCTCAACAACAAAAATAATTATTCTGTGATGATCAGGATATGGTTGTCTAGCTGTAATTGTGTGAAAACACACATTTCTCTGAGAAAAAAATACTGTCAACCTAATATTATTACTAAATAGTTCACTAACACAGGAGAAGCCTGAAAGAAGAGAACTTCCCTCCATATGATGTTATTACCATCTTTCCACTCCCCTCAAAATATATGGAGCTGTATGTCTTTTAATGAAAGCCACCAGATTCCATGATTTCTGTACTTTCTAAATACTATTAGACTAGATGTTTATCTAGTGAAAGGATTTTTTAAAATCTATACACATCAGAAAAAATTAAAACTCCAAACCATCTCAGTACCAACTGCTGTACACATGTCAAAGCTAGGCCAAGCAGATCAGCTACACAACAGACAATGCATCACTCCTTGCAGAACGTCTCTGTTCTTCAAAAAAACCCAGAAATCCTGGGGGAGGTTTACATACAGACAGGGAAACTGCATAGTAAAACAGATTTCAAATGCAATTCTTCTGTCAAGCAAAGACAGGCACACAGACTGGAAATCTACAGAAAATGTGTTCAGTGATGAAAAGGGAACTCCTCTGATACACAAAGACAATCTATAACATTATTCAATCTCTCAGGAAAACCACTGAAATTTTAACTGAGAAAGAGTCATATCCTACTACAGAAATGCAACCTCTTCACAAAAGCACACATTTAGTTTGTGCTACTCCCACCTTCTCTCAAATCAGCTATAAAAATGTAGGAAACTGCTCACTGATTTAGAAACAAAAGAACAATCCCCTCCCCTATTTTTAAGGATAATTTATAACTTATTAAAGTGAATATGTATGTTATACCACTGTATCCAAGTTTGTTATATTTGAAAATATATGTAAAAGCACAACATTATTCCTGTGCAAAAGTAACAGTATATGACTTTTTAAAAATAGACTCAAAGGGAGTCATTAACTCTACATGTAACACCATTAAAGTGATTAAAATGTCCTCCTCCACTAGCTATGACATGCTTCTCCCCTGTAAATTACATTGGTAGAGCACTTACACATCAGTTAAGAAAATGTAGCCAGTAACCCTTTCTTGGTCTAGCAGCTTGAAGAAATTATTCCATATTTTGAGGAAACATGTATTTATAGTGGCAAGATACATTAGTCTTTTTTAAAGTATGATAACTAAGAAAGACTGACTCTGGCTGCAGGCACCTTACAACTGAAAACATCAGAAGGGCCTGATAAGCAAGATTGTGCTATTTGTTCAAATCAGAGTAAAAAAATTAGTCTAAAATATGGAATAACAAGAACTAACATAATTGTAGCTTGTATCTTGTATTTTCTGCTGTAAAACAAAGCAACAGGGTGACGAGAAGATCTTGATTTCATTTATTTGCTCTAGATGTAAATGCTTGTTCCTATGCCAGATTGATAAAAACTTTTAGAAATTGAAAGCACAGATCTTCTGTTTTCAGTCAAAAAATAGAAAATCTTATCCAGTATAGATACATAACTCTACTCAAAAGTTATTACAGAATTATTGTGCAGAACTATTCCAGGCCCATATCTCTTTAGAGCCCTAAAGCTGTAAAACTAATTCACCTATACCACCTCTGCACTGTTTTGCTACCAGTAGACCATTTCCAATTCACTGCTGCCCGTCCCATAGAAGAAACTGAAAATGTGAAAACACTGCTATTCAATAAATCATCTTTGGCTTACTGGCAAAAATCTCATTCAAATCATCTAGAGACCAAATTGATGCGGAACAATTTTGTTAGCGAAGTTTAACCACTTGAGTTCAGGTCCTGATGAAAAACTATTTGTCTTAGATATGATGCTACTGTTGATGACCTCATCAGAAAAGGTGCACCTTTGGAAGTTCAGCGTACAAACTTTGTGATAAATATTGTTTTCTGAGAATTAATTGTACTTGAGGAAGCTTTTGCAGACTGAGCTATGATCCTCCCAAAAGGACATCAGTCTCCAACACTCTTTGCTGCAAGCACTAATTGCATCTTACCCACTGAAGTGCTTTTACTTAACTGTTTTTTACTGGAACTTTTTATAGGAATGTGAGGAATACTACTCGAGAAAGCACCCTAGAACTTTTGTGGTCCTGGTTAAAAAAGGTGGTATCTTCCTTTGTAGATGTAACCTAGGAGGTGGTACTGTCAATATGTAAGGACCGCATCACTAAACAGGCATCATCAGATGATTTACAATATCAGAACAATAGAAAAGGTAAAACACAAGGCAAGTAGTGTAATTTACAATGTAATGTGCTGAGTTCTGAGCAGTGATAACAAAATGACATTAGCTTCAACTGAAAGAGAGTCTGAGCAGAGATCTGAGGATGATTATGAAGGCATCCACGATGAGATGGCTAGAGAAGGGTTTTTCTTTCCTTTAGAAAGAAAATCTGAGAAGTTGAAATGCCACAGCTGTCTATTCACACAAAGTAGCAGGGGAGAAAAAGCAAATAATAAGGAAAAAAAAAAGACTTAAAATGCAGGATAAGACTAAAACACTAATTATTGTAAACAACTTTAGCTTTGATTAGAAAAAAAGATTTTGAGGGAGGACTGATTAGAATGCCTTTGATTAACAACCAAATGAATGAATGTCTGGAATAGCCTTTGACAGTAGCAGCACTATATCTGCATTTATTAAAACAGCTAAATTAACTAATAGAATTAATCATACAGTAGAATAGAGAACCTTCAGAATTGCAGCTGAAGACATGTAGTTTGAAGATCTGGTATACTGGTGAGCATATTTTTCCATCCACGCAGGATCAAAACAGTAACCAGATTCTAAGGAAGCAGTTTCCTTTGAAGCAGAAAGGTTTAGAATACTGTTCTTAATTTTTTCCTTTTTTTTATTTTTTTCCCATAATACAATGGAGTTTGCCCAAGATCATCTGAGAATTTTATTCAAACAAATTTCTTTATAACAGGACTAAACATTCACTTTTGGTTTCAGCTGCCAGTAGTGTCCTCCTACAGCATGTGATAATTGTTGGGACTTCTTGATGGAAACCCATCTAAATTTAGCTTGTGATCAGGGACTGTACTATTAGGTCTGTATTAACTTAAGAATTCAGACAACAATTCACAGGTAAACACATAAATAATTGGTATAAGTCTGAAGGTGAAACTTATCCTAATTCTAAACATTTCTCTTCTCACTGCAGACATATTCAAAATACACTCTTCTAAGTTGCTGCAAGGGATTGAATTGGGTGAAAAAAAATTCTTTTCTTCATGTGTAGTGCAAAGGATATCAAATAAACAGCTAAGGAAAAAACCCTTAATTTTATGGAAACTGCACAGCAATATTCCCAATACTCACTATTTTTTAACTAGATCCTAATATAAATATTGCCTCTAAGTTGTCCTTTGAATTAAAAGATTTATTCACTGAACATATTTGGTTAGGAATTCACTCATAAACAAATTAAAACTTGTGACTAGTAATAGAATACTTATTGCATGTCATTCTGGCCTATTACAAATGTAAAAAGTATATATTTTTAGTTAATATCATCTAGCATAGGATTTTAATGTTTTTAAGTCTAAAGTCTATTTAAAGACTATAGTCAACCAGAAATAAATTTTCTACATTTAGACTTAAGAAGAAATGCAATGTTTGCAAGGGTACAAAAAACAACCAACTAATTCTCATCATAAAAAGAAACGAGTTCTACAAATGAAAACTGAGAAAGTTATTTTACATCCAACCAACCAACCATAAACCAACCAACACCTAATGATTGAAAGCCTTGAAAACCAACGACCATTCTGATTTCTACCCAAGTGGTTTCTATTTTATAAAAAACCCTACCCTTCTAAAACAGACAATTTTTTCTAAAAAAAAATGTAAGTAACACAAGTAGCCATAAGTACCCTAACTAACAAAAAATCCTATAGCTGCAGATTGCCTCCTAGCTTTACTGCCTTGGGCCTAAAAGCTTTAACACTACTCTTCTGAAGCTTAAGAGCATGCTCAAAGCAAAAACCTTATCAGCAGCAGCCTTGTAATTAAGGTACAAGATGGTCTGCAACATAGAAGAACATCTTGCATAGACACCACTACCAGGATAAATAGATAAGCATTTTCCACACATCAAAAATTCTCTTCTGGAAGATGGAAAATAAGTGTGAGAAAAAAGCTTTTCCTACTTAAGACACTGATGGGTACAAGACTTTTGCATAAGATTTTTTTCCCTCTCAAGTCAAACAAAACATTGAGATAAACAGAAAAACATGTGTCTAGGATGGAGATCACGATCTGTTTTTTCATGTTTAGTTTCTAAAATTACCTCTGAATTTCTTTAACAGTGCTTGCTGAGACCTCCTAGAATATTCCTAACATAACAAAAAAGTCATCTCTTCTGGAGCTTTACATGTTAAGTCACACAATTAAATTAAAAGATGTTAAATACTAAATACAGCCTGTCCTAATAATTCCTCACTACTTTTTGTCAGTAATTTTTCATCCATTTTTTTCAAAAATAAAATAAGTCCAAAACATCTTGTTATGTTGTCAGATTAAGTAAGGCTCAGTCATGTAATAATAATGAATTTTCTACAGGAACACAATGGTTAAAGGAACAAGGCAAGGTTTACAAGGCTGCTAGATGAAACTCTTTTCAGAACAAAAATTTTTACATTAATGACAGGATTAAATTAAGCTTTCCTCTGGAAGTACTTTGCTTTAGTTTCCTGCACTGAAGTAAAAAATTAGGCAGTTGAAATTATCATACCAGTTTGGCTTTCCATTTACAACTTTTATGTCTTTCTGTAAAACACACAGGTGAGAACATAAATATATACACAGGTAAAAAACCCCTCATGATTAAAATCTGTTTACAATCATTGTATTACATAAAAACTCACAGTCACTTTAAATAATTTTTTGATAACTTTTCATGTAAAAAATGTGATTTACTTTTAATGTAAAAAAATGTGAATACTATGTAATTTAAACCTAAATAGTTAAACCCCAGTGTCATTTCCATTAAAGACTATTGTAGTTTGGCTAGTACTATTGAAGGATCAGAAATAGACTAATATTCAGATTTTTTTTTCCAGTTTCTCTTCAGTCAGTACTCCCCAATTATCTTGAGAGAAACACAATTATTAAATATATACGATGATTGTTACTTACAATTAGCTGTTTCAAGCCTACAAATGACTGCTCTACAGAGTTGGCATTTAAAACTTGTCTCTTCACTGCAGCCTGCTCCCCCAAGAAGCGAAGCATTAGGTCTTTTACTGCATCTCCCTTGGTGTTCATGGAACAGAAAAAGAAAACAGATAATGAGACTATTGAAAACATTATTTCAGCAAAATAAAATATAGAATTAAAACTGAGCAAAGGAGTTCATTTCACTAGAGAAATACATATTTTCCAGTATGTTACATATTAAATAAATATAATTGCACATGTATATATAGTATTGGAATGAAAATTTCTACATTTACTCCACATAATTTTGTATATTTTTTTTCCATGTATAGGTTTCAGTTAGCATTGACACATTCAGGTTTATTTGCCTCTTATACTATTATCATTCACAGATCTTATAAAATATTCCTCAAAGATCTTACAAAAACCAGAAAGTTTTACAGGTTTTTGTAATGTATGTTAACATTGAAAGGTGCAATCTACTGATCAAAGATAAGCATGCACACAGTAAATTAGCCTTAAACATCCACAGAAAATAAACTTTGAGAGATCATAAATGAAAGTAAACAGCAACCCTTCAACAAGGGTATCAAATTTCAAAAGAACTAGCTGCAGGCATCAGTCAGAGAAACTGGCCTGAGCTCAATAGCTTTTTGCCTAAAAAGGAGTGAACTAAGATATCTGCCTCTCTGACAGAAGAGCCCAAAGAATTAAGAAAAGACAGTGTGTGCAAAACAACATACAGATGAATTTTTAATTCCCCCTAACTTTGGATCCAAAAGTCCTTTGGTGTAGGAAATAGTACAAATGAATATAATGAAACAAAGGACAATGACAGAAGACAGCAACAGAAGAAAAAAGGCATAATGGGAAGAGCATAAAAAGCAGCACTCAGATTTGTTCTGACACTTGAAGAACTCTGGTACAGATGATCTTTACTATACAGTGTTTTTTAAATGATTGTCAAAAAGCACTGAATATTTTTCTTGGAGTTATTTATCGACATAATACACTTTCTGAGCAAGCAGGGAAAAAAATAAAGTCCCAAGCTTGTCAATACATGTCACGTGAAATTTCAGTCCTTCCCTGAAGCACACTTCAGTGAGTTCACTCACTGCAAATGCATTTTTCAACCAACTTCTCTGTCCACTGCATGTAACTTGGTTTAACATCTTACAATAACGTTCAGCATTAGCGAACTATTCATACAAAAGTTGTAAAGACCGTTGTTGGAAGCTGCTTTAACACTGAAAATATACCTCCCACAATGTTTCAGTTGACATTTCAAGCTCTCTACAATTAGTTTCAGTTAAATACACAATTTGCAATACTATGGAAAAATGATACAAAAATAGGGGATGTCAAATCAGTCAAGGCATGCACTCAGGCCATGGAAACCAGTAACTGAAAGTGAGGAAAATTTTCTAAACACAAAGCACTTCAAAACTTGTCCCTGTGGACATGTCTAAGAGACACTTATAAATTATAAACAATGAAGAAAGCAGTAGTATTTCCTTTAACTCCATTGATGATTTTACATCAGGTCTTTTGTAGAAATACATCACATGGACATTGTCAAACATCTTCTCTTCAATTATGTACTAAATGGTTTATCTGCATATTTCCACATGACTAGATTTAGGGAATAATCAGGAGAAACAAGCCTTTAATCCCTGACTGGGTTGAGGAAGGTCAAAGAGAACTACTGAAAAAAAAAAAATATTGCAAAAAAAGAGACCATCACCCTTGGAGATTTCAGAACAGATCACTCCATCTGTCTAACTGATTAGCTGTCAGGAGAGAAAGAGTACACACTAGAATTACTCAAGGTCTAAGGGACATTTTGGGCACAACAGGAGGAGGAACAGCTTCTTGTTACAGTGTTTCACTCTAATTATTTAGCTCTGTGATAACACACTAATGTTTTAAGATAAAGTACACCCAAGAAGCAACAGCAGTGTGGCATATATCTAAACTGGTATTCATTGCTTGTGACAGAACCCAAGATTTTTCAGATAATTCATCTAGACGTCTGGACCTGATTCACTCCAGAAACTCTTCTGATAGCTCCCGCAGATTGGGAAGTTACTGCAGACTGCTCTCTGCTTGTATCTGCCTATTGACTGATGGTCTTTGTTATGCATAATTAAGGTTTAAAGTATCCAAACCCTCAATACCATCCATCTACACAACAGTTCTATTATCCAGAGGCATAGATATCAAAAAAACAAAACATGGTTAGCCTGGCTGAGCAGCCAGGATAAAACTACTTCATTACAAATCCTGAATAGATGTAAAATTTCCCAAATTCTGAGAAAAATGCCTTATGCCTTTTCACCCATTAGAAATTGACAGATGACTAAAAATTGCTTTTCACTACTATGTTGTTTGCTTTGTGATCTCCTCTAGTCTTTTTCTTTTAATTTTGGAGTTATCCCTCCCAGCAGCTTGCTATAGCACTCAATCTTTCTTAGAGGTTATACCTTTCCATTGCTTAGGGAAGATAGAAATGATGCCATTTCACTCAGTGTTAACATTGTTGAGACCACTGTGAACATAAGTGAAATTATTTCCCACTCGATCACAACAGGGAATTCCACAAACAAAGCTGCCTGCTGTTAGACTCTAGCACAGCTTAGAGGGTGTGTATATATTCCAAATGTGAGTATTATATCTTACTAACTCAGAGGACCAGAAATAACGTACTTGAAAATACAAACAGCTTTGGCTTCTACTGCAACTGTCAACACTGGTTTTCAATGTAGCAAATAAATGTCACTATGAGTAAATGAGACCTGGATTTAGCCTCTTCCTGTACAAGGCAGCAGTGACACTGCATTTTTTAATTAGGATTGAAGCAATACACACAAGGTGACCATCAGCAACAATATGAAGCAGTATAATATACAGATTACTGGACAGCTCTTCTACAGTATTTCTAAAATATAATCATAGAGGAAGGTACAGTAATAGACTCTTACCTGGATATTATCGAATTTTAATCCAGGCATGGTGAGATTCTCTTTATCTATGAACACAGCGCTGTATTGTTGTGTGGCAACTGAAATGAGAACATTTCTTGTCTCCTCACTAGGAATCCAAGCATCATTTCTTCTATCTAGTTCACTCATATTTAAAGCTGTGGCAAACGGGTCATCACTCCCAGCAAAAACAGCTTGGATCTGTGAGAATGGCTTGGGGGATTGAGTTATTTCTAGAGATGATGGTGGACCACCTGCTTCAGGTCTCCCATTTTGCACAGGGAAAGTAGAGTTGGATGAAGAACCATCTCCACCATTAGAAAGAGAGGACATTTGTTCTGGAACTGAAGAGCTTGCATTTGGATTACTAACAGAAATAAAATTAGATGTGGTAAATGAATCGAAAAAATCAGAAGCTAAAGTATTAGTGTTAACAGTGTCACCGAAGAATTTGCTTAGACTAGGACTTGGTTGAACCACCTGTGGATTAGACTTCACTGGAGTCTCTATTATACTACTAAAACTGGGAGATTTCACCATCTGAGGCTCAAAACCATCTGGCAGGAACAACTGTGGCTGTGAACTAGCATTGTTTGCTTGGCTGAAGATGGTGCACACAGGAATAGGCTCAGCCTCAGAAGATGGTTTGGTAGTACTGGGTGACAATATTTGGTCCCCAGGCATGCTTTCATCAATATTATTTGGTTTTGTTTCAACAGGAATGTTGTTTCCCAACTTTGGTTCCTCCTTCACTGCTTCCTGAATTGATTCTTCCTTTAAAGATGCCTGATCATCTGTTCCAATCTCAGAAATGTCTTTAGGAGTTTCTTCATGTTCAGTTTCACTCTCATTACTTAAAAACTCTTCTTTATCCACTTCTGTTTGTGTTTTTTGATTATCTTTAGCTTCCATTTGGTCTACAATCTCCTGAAGACAACCAAGTTCACCTGTGTCATCTTCACTATTGTTTGGAGAATCTGAAATAATGACACTCTCCATCATTTGCTCATTAAGTTTATCTACAAAATTATTTGAATCCTCTGATACAGTTTCATTCCCTTCAGACTCAAATTCATCTCCACCAAGATCAATGGTTTCCTCATGGAAGATGCTTTCTTCCTCAGTTTTCTGCTGAACTATGTCTCTGCTGTCACCTTCATCTGAGGTGCTCTTTGCATCCTTAGCACTGCTTTCATTATTCTCCATAGTATCTGGAAAAGAAGGCCCCACCAAAACAAGAACTAGTTTTATTACTTGTATATTTTTCAGGTGTCACAGTGAAACTCCTAAGTACCATACAAATAGTGAAATCCTTGCTTTAAAAACACAGTAATTTCACTATTTCACATCTTCCCTTTGACATTTTTCATGTAACATCTAATCACAGAACTAATTCTTTAAATATCTTTACTTTATCTTTTCTGCAAGTCGTAAAACTATTGAGATTGAAGACCAAACGCCTCCCACTAAAAATACACGGAACAATATCAGAGTCGTATCAAAGAATGGTTTGGTTTGGAAAGGGATCTTAAAAGATCATCTGATTCCAAACCCTCTACCATGGGCAGGAACACCTTACACTAAACCAGGTTGCTCAGTGCCCCATCCAACCTGGCTATTAACTCCTCCAGGTTTGGGACCTCCCCAACTTCCCCGGCCAACCTGTTCCAGTGTCTCAACATTTGCTTTTCTGGTCGCAAAGACCCGCTAAGTCCCGCTTTCAGCAAAGGGAAGCGTGGGCTCAAGGCTATTATCACCAGTACAGCCGAGCCGAGCACGGGCCGGCTAAGCAGGAGGAGCGCTCGGCAGCGACAGCGCCGCTTGCGATTCCCCGCCGGCTCGGGCCGGC